TTTATTCTTACTTTGACTGAATAAGTAACTATTATTTAGCAGTGAACTACCATTCTATTAAAGAAAGTAGTTTTTGAACTTTTTGACAACTTTGGCAGGTCTCTCCAGGGCCCAATCTTAAATTAAGCCTTTTGGCCTAAAATTAATTTTACAATTTTCCACATAGGCCCCCCTGAAGAGCCTCAAAGGGTTTATTTCTCATCTTGTACAGATATTAAATGATTAGGTTTATTTGGTAAATAATACAGGAAGTTCTGTCAAATAAGGAATGGTGTTTAACTTCCCTTAAGTTATATTTGTGTGTGTTATTAAAATGTGTGAAATTGTATAGGATCCCTAAAATTCTGATATGCCAAGATATGTGTCATAATAATGATTATTATGTTAAATGATTGTGTGCCACCGAAATATCTAAATTGCCTTGTCAATTGAAAATTCTCATCGTATCTTTGGCTATGATTTTTCTGGCTTTTTGTCATCCACAGCAATTGTTTTAAATTCTTCTCTAGAAGTACTTGCAATGAGCTATAGTCTAAAATTGCTAATCAAAATAAAGAAAAAAAATTTTTTTGAAACACAGTCTTACTCTGTTCCCCAGGCTGGAGTACAGTGATGCAATCATAGCTCGCTGCAGTTTCCATCTCCTGGGCTCAAGCTTGATCCTCCTACCTCAGCCTCTGGAGTAGCTAAGACTACAGACATGTATGACTACACCCAGATAATTTTTTTGCCTTTTAGTAGAGACAGGTCTTGCTATGTTGTGCAGGCTGGTCTTGAAATCCTGACCTCAAGCTATCCTACCACACAGCCTGCCAAAGTGCTGGGATTACAGGTGTGAGCCACTGCACCTGGCCAACCAAACAAAATTATTTAAATGAAATTAAGTAATTGATAAGGATAATGTTTTTGTTGCTTAAATGTTTTATTTTCCAAATTCAAGGAAATTTTCTGACATAAGCTATCTATAGTTTGCAGTATTTTGGTAAAGTATCCTCTGTTGAACAAAGGTGGAAGCATTTGGTTTTTTTCCCCTACTTGATTCCTTAAAATTCAGAAGCTATAAATGAGTATTCTTATTTTTATTTATGTAAGTTAAATAAAAATCTTATCTCTCTTGAAAACAGGAAACAATTGGGAACATTGGTTATATTACCAAGGTATAGACTGAAATGTTATATGTAAGAATGTGCCTAAAATGCCTGTCTTCAGGAGTTCCTAGCTTTACAGTGAGTATGTAAAAACTGTCACTTTCTGGTAGGCCCAAGAACCTTAAGACTATAAGTAAAATCTAACGCCTGACTTGGTCTGGCCATCTAGCTTCAAGAGGTTCTAATATCTGAGATTTCTTATATGATCAATGTGGAGAAAAGTTATGCTTCTAAGTAAAGCAAAAGTTTATCTGTTACTAGATTCTAACATTGTGCATTGCCCTCAAGTCCTTGTTATTTGGCTATGGACTGGACTAGATTCTGAATTCTCGTAAGATCCTCTAATATTTGGTTATAACTAAATCCTGATGGGGTCCCCTAGTCCTCTTCCCCCAGTCCAGACTAGGGATGCTCTGGGGACATTCAGGGTATTTCTCCTTTTAAAATCTAACTAACTAGATGAATTAAAATATCAGAATTGGATACAAACTGGACCCATAGGATACTATAGTCTTCTTGTCTCAAAGAAGTTGATGTTGTCTCTTCTTTTGTAAAAGCCACAGTGAAAATAGCAACGGGGCCCCCCTCACTGTCTGTGTTCCACACTCTAATGGGGCTCTCCTCAATTCACGTCACAAGAAACCTAGCAAACTATGCAATTCTTTTTCTGTTCTCACCTCCCCTTACCATGACCCAATATAACTTGCTTAATTCTGCCACTTTACTTATCTTTCCTGATGTCAGGTTTGTCCAACAGGCAGAACTGCATGCTCTTACTAGACATGTCTTTTAGCCAAAGGTAAAATGGCCAATTACTTACACAGATGGCAAGCATGCCTTGGGATAGCTCACAACCTTAGTATCTGTGTGAAATATGTCCACAATACCATATTGGAAAACCATTTCACGCCTTCATGGACCACTTCACATTACCAAAAAGTCCCTTTGAGGCATGGCAACAATATTTTTTTCAGCTCCCCATCTCTCAAGGATATTGGTATGTACTAGTTACAATGTGCATGTTTTAGCATTGCACTGAAGCCTTCTATTGTCAACAGGCCACAGCCATGGCAGTAGTTAAGGACCTGTTGGAAAATTTATACCAACATGAGAAGTCTCTTAAGGGGTTCATAATGCACGAGGAACTCATTTTGCAGAGCAAATTATTTAAAACATTTGTATAATTTGGCCTATTTATCAACATTTCAATTGTGCTTACAACTTCTAGTCCTCTGGACTGGTGAAACAGACCAAGGGAATAATAAAAGCCCAATTGGCAAAGAATTGTGGTGTGCCATTTAGCCTGCAATGGCCCAAGGCCCTTTCTTTAGTCCTCCTTAACCCTGGCATGCTTTCAGTGTTCCTTCGTAGAGTTCTAAATTCATCCAGATGGTCAGGGTAGCCAACACATTTGTGGTAGTTTCTAATCTTTACTGATCCCCTTCCAACTAGGACTCCTCATTGGCAGTCATTTCTGCTTGTCCCATTGGCCCCTGTACACCTCCTGGGAAAGGATTTTGTACAAATCTGCCAGGTCCATATTTCCTTCTCCCAGAAAGGGGGAAATAATATTAGAGTTACCCTCACAAGGAGATCTGGCCTCAGAACTGGCTTTTACCCTAATTCTCATCTCTCAAGTTGGCCTCATTAACGCTACTGACCCTCCTCTCCAAGAGCTACCAATTGTGCCCCAAGAGTCCTGGGGCACAATCCAACACCAATGATAATCCCAGACATTACAGCTGGGGATGTACTCAAGGATGCGATTTACTTGGAGAATAATCCTCTAATGAAGGAGCTAGATTAGGAAGGTTTCTGGGGTCCTGGTTTGGACTAGGTTCTGCTTGAGATGGGTATATGGTCAGAAACCTTTTTGGCACTGTCAAGAGAGTTAAAGTACATCTCCTAGCTTGTGACAAGTGAAAAGGTCCATCCTCATTACCACTTTCCTAAAAAACAAAGGTTTTTATATACGGCTTGAAAGTGAATAGGAATGGTTACATTGCATTTATACTTTATTGAACATTATTAGAAATTGTCCTAACATCTCTACCAACGTGCAGACATTTATATACACACAGACCACACATTCTCAATTTCTATTGCTCACACATCTTCTTTCTCGAGGCTTTTCATAGGACGCATTTTCCTAAGCTCAGCTGTTGGTCCTCTGTTCTTTCTTCATACATTCTTTCATCATTCATTTTTGTAACTCCAAAGAACACTTATATTCTGATGATTCATAAATATTACAAGACAGTTTCTCTCTTCTTCTGTTCTCTAAACAACTCTACTGTCTCATAATCAGACTTACCTTTCTTTCCAAACACTGCTATTACTATGCATGAAACCATGACTATTTAGCTTAAAAATTAATACATTATTTATACTCTGAACCATACAACTCAGCACTTAATTAAGGTCTTTCATTACTTAAACTTAACAAGTCATAATAATCTCACTCATCTGACCAGATTTTTTGCAATTTGACATCAGAGATTAGTTTAATACTTTATCTGTATGCTCAACAAGTTCTTGTAGTACTGGGGCCATAGAATGATTCAATAATTATTTGACAATTAAAAACATAAGTAAATTGTCTGTCCCTAGTAACTTTGGAAATAAAGTGCTACACTATTATTTAATATCAATTTATCCCATCTTTTAAATGTGAGACTAAATAAAGTAAGTTAATACACATAATAATGGAACTCACAACATATATATGTTTATAGTTAGGAAGTATGCTCACTTAACCTTCCAGTAGTCATGTGGAGACCATATTACTATTCACTTTCTACAAATGATAAATAAAACTCATAAATGTAAAGTGACTTGCCCAAGGTCACCTAGCTAGTAAGTGGCAGAGCTAAATCATAACCTCACATATTTTGTCCTCAAGTCCAGTGCTCTTTCCCTTATATCTGCATATTCCCTCTTAAAAACATAGTAATGTATATACACATACTATGTTGTTGTAACATGATGTGTATTTCCTTTTTTATGTTTTCACTTTTCTCACTTTTTAGATTTATTTATTTATTTATTTATTTATTTATTTATTTATTTGAGATGGAATCTCATTATGTTGCCCAGGCTGGTCTCGAACTCTTGAACTCAAACGATCTGCCTGCCTTGCCCTCTCAAAGTGCTGGGATAACAGGCATGAACCACCGCACCTGGCCACATTATTAAAATATTTCATCATCATTAGATTTCATTATACAGATTGCATAACAACATAACTAGTTGTTGTGTTTACAAAAAGTCTTTATATTCAGGATAATAAAAATATATAAGCATTTCTTCTCCCAAAGGCCCTTCTGACTATTTTCAAAATTTTAAAAAGTCATTATCCACACATCCGCAATCCTAGAGGAATCAGAGGTGCTGCAGTTGCATCTGAAGCAAAGCCAGATGTGAAACAGATGCAGCACCACCACAGTTACAGATTACTGATATCAGGTAAGTGCTTTAACTTTGATTGGCTTTGGGATGGAATTGATGGAGCTGGTCTGAGAGAGGCTATTAAGAGACCTCAGCTTCCCCAAGTGATTTCACCCTGGACCCTTATCAGACCCTCCCAGCTCAGCTTCCACCATCTAATCAAAGTTTAAAGCACTTACCTGATATTAGAACCTGAAATGCCAGGATTGCTGTACTACATCTGTGTTATTTCCAGTTTGTCAAGTAGGTACAATTGCAGAACCTGTTCCAGCACCTGTAGCTCACAGCATTATACCACAGTAGACATCCACTGCCAAAACTGAAAATATTTAACCTTAATTTTGTTAGAAACTTGTCATTTCAAAAATGATTTTCAACATTAATAGTTTCATTTTAGTTACTTACCATTTGGATAGGGCGTTTCACATAAAGTTAGAAATTCAACAATAGGATGATCCATTTCAAGTACTGTAATTGCTTTTCCATGCATGATGGTTAAACTTGGTCTTCTACAAGCTTTGTCATAGGACAGCCCACCAGAGAATATTATGAATGGTTCGCTACATAGGAAAAAAACATTAATGAGACTCAGAAGTCATTTAAAATGACACAAAGTCACAGGACTGAACCTATAAAGAACAGGTTTTGTTGTATACCATATAATATGACAGCAAAAAACTTGCCTGGCTCAAAATTTCTCATTCAATAGCCTACTATTCTACCATTTCCCATTTTCTAGATGTACATTCTCACTATTAAATTTACTAATGGATCAGTCTAAAGATGTTGGGGTAGGTTTGGGGAAAGGCAGTGAGCTTGGAGAGAGGTAGATGTGCTCACTGACTCTCAAAAGGACATCTTCACATACATTAGTTGGTTCTCAAACTCTAAATCACTATCATTGGAGTATTAGTCTATGTTAGAATATCAGATTAACTAGCTGGCCTGTGGGGCCTAAAATTTCTACAAGAGAAAAGAGACAAATTTTAATATAAAATGAAATGTGACAGTGGAAAGCTCAGAATGGCAGAGGGTAAAATAAGAATTCTAGATAATGGAGTTTCTGTGAAAAAAGAGTAAAGATAAAAAGATGGAGAAAGGTAATATGTAAGAGAAGAATAGCTAATCAAAGATAAATTGCCTTTTCTATTTTACTTGTGGGCAGTCTATATATCTATATATCCTCTATATATCTTGCTCAACTAACTTACACAAGGTTTTGGGTCTGTTGCTTTATAAGACACAATTAGATAGCAGAGTGGGGTTAAGATGCCTCTAAAACATTATAGCTATCTGAAAATTATGAAATCTTTTCACGGTTTTTCATTTTTCATTTCTCAAATCAATACTTACATATCTCTAGTGTAGGTGTACAAAAGAAAAAGTGTGTTAGCAGGAAGTATTTTCAAGAAGTCAGAAGTAAATACCAAATTGAAAATATTTTTTTCTAATTTTTTTTTTTTTTTTTTTTTTTTTTTGAGACGGATTCCTCTTCCAGGTGAGTGCAGTGGGATTAGCTCATGAACTCCCTATCTCATTCTTGCTCAGTCTACGAGTACTGGACTACAGGCGGCCTTCGCGGCTAGTTTTTTTTTTTAGTAGAGATGGGTTCACCGTGTTAGGAGGTCTCGATCTCCTGACTCTTGATCCGGCCTCCAAATGTGGATACAGCTGAGCCACCGCGGCGAAAATATTCTTTTCTAATTTTTTTAAAGAACTAGAGGCTTTTATTGTATCGAATTATTTGAGAACATAATGCTCATCTACATAATTCACTTACATCCCATTTGCTAAGCTGAAGGATCTACTTGTTTCTAGAAATCGCTCTATGAGATTTCTTTTTCTCTTCTATTTTGTACTGTTTGAGGCACCAAACATTATCAGTGGGACATTTACTAATCTTATGCTGGCTATATAACCAAAAAGGGGGGCTTTTTAAGAAAATTTCTAAACAAACCTACATATAAAATGCATGTACTATTTTCTGTTTATAATTCTATCTTAATATTCTCACATAAATATTTGAGTTATAAGCAAAATAAACAAAAATACTCTAACTTATTTTACTTCAGTTGATTTGAGTACTAGTCTTGCACCAGTGATTTGATATGGTAAATCACAAACTACTAATGGTGCCATTAAAAAGCACATTTGTTATTTCTATAAAATGTATATTTATATTATTAATAAGATTTATCCAGATTTAAAAAGCATTTCTAATACAGTTATTTATGAAATAGTGGGGGGAGGGTTACCTTTGTTTGTTGCTTTGTTTTGCAAATAAAAAGGCCATGACTTAAGAGAATGTAGTATCTTTTCATAAATATTAAGCTTAATTATCTACTATTAATGTTAATAAAGGCCATAAGTATCTATTTTTTTCCTGTGTATAAGTAGGTGAATTTACTCTCATTCCCTAATACTAATCCAAACATAGGATAAGTAGCAATTTACTTCCCCTGCTTTTTTGTATATACATTGGAAATATGTCCTCTCCAATATTGAAAGGAAGTAAAATTTCTTCTGCTCTAATTATGACTCTGCATCAGAATACTCTGGGTCTGAATTTAGTTGTTAATATTTATGCATTTCTCTATAAACTACTAAGTGATTACATAAAAAGTTACTTCCTCAAGAAAGTGCTCAGGGAACCACTCATGGTTAACTGTACTAAATATTTAATTATCATATTAAATCCTCATAAGCAATGTCCTCACTTTATTAATGAGGTTAAATAACAGCTAAGAAGAAACAACCAAAAGAAAATTGAGATCTACCAGACTTCAAAGCCTGTGATTCTAAACACTCCTATATATTGCCTCTAGTAATAAATAGCTACCATTTACTGAGTGCTTACCATGTGGCATATATTGTGCTATGTGTACATATAAAGTAAATTTTGTGTAATCCTCACAACAACCTTGACAAAGTACTATTAGTCCCATTTTATACATGAAGAATCTGGGATTAATGCAGATTAAACTTGTCCAGGATCAAGAAGCTAGTGAGTACCAGGACAAAGATTCAAACCCAGACTCAAAAGCCCACATTTTTCATTTTTCATTTAATGTTTCTCAAACTGTGGAATACAACGTGGTAGTTGTTCAGCAGAAAAAAATTAAATTTGATAATTTGATAAGCACTTGCAAAACCATATCTTCTTTTAGGAATTTTGCATTTCATAGCATATGTTAAAAATTATGAGAAATCATATGGCAAGCAATCCAATTTACTTTTATAGAATTCAGAATTTCTCACATTTATTAGATTTCAGGTCCCTTTTATTCCATGAATATCATTAGTAATTAAAGGAACACAGTTGTTTGATAATGTTGTACCACACTACATGTTGTAGCACACTAAACTGTGTCAGGTGTTATTTAATACAAAGATTCTATTAAGGGATACCTATCAGATGGACTCTTATAAAAGAAATATATGACCATATACTTGAAATGTCCTCATACTTAAAGAAAGCATTAATAAAAAATAACAAATTATGGATACATAATGTGTATGAATCTCAAAGGCATTCTGCTGAGTGAAAGAAGCTAGGCTTAAAAAGTTACGTAATATATAACCGCATATATATAACAGTCTCCAAAATGCAAAACTATAGTGATGCAGAACAGATCAGTGGTTGCCAAGGGTTAGGAGTTGGGGAGAGGAGTGACTATAAAGGAACAGAATGGGAGAGTTGTGGGAAATGATGGAAATATTCTTTATTCTTATTGTGGTGATAGTTTTAGAAATCTATACATGTGTTTAGAAACATGAAACTGTATGCCAAAAGAAAAATAGTTAATTCTACTGTAAGTATAATCTGTAAAATACATAAAGAAAACAGCATTAAAAGTTTGCTCCAATGAAGGCAACAAGATTAAACAAGTTATGTAACATAATATAATAAATATTAAATGCTAACATATATTGAGTATTTTTTATATTCTAGGCATCGTATGCAGAATTTTACATGCATTATTTTATTTAATCCTTATCACATCCAAATGAGATAACTACTATTATTATCTCCATTTAACAGATGGGTATATTGAGGCTTGGAGAACTTAATTATACATAAAGTTCCTGCCATAATAGGAACAGATTAAAAGACTAGCAGAAAATAATTTTTTTTTAAATTATACTTTAAGTTCTAGGTTACCTGTGCACAACGTACAGGTTTGTTACATATGTATACATGTGCCATGTTGGTATGCTGCATCCATTAACTCGTCATTTACATTAGGTATATCTCCTAATGCTATCCCCCTCCCTCCTCCCTCGTCCCCACAATAGGCCCTGGTGTGTGATGTTTCCCTTCCTGTGTCCAAGTGATCTCATTGTTCAATTCCCATCTATGAGTGAGAACATGTGGTATTTGGTTTTATGTTCTTCTGATAGTTTGCTGAGAATGATGGTTTCCAGCTGCATTCATGTCCCTACAAAGGACATGAACTCATCCTTTTTTATGTCTGTATAGTATTCCATGGTGTATAGGTGCCACATTTTCTTAATCCAGTCTGTCACTGATGGACATTTGGGTTGATTCCAAGTCTTTGCTATTGTGAATAGTGCCACAATAAACATACGTGTGCATGTGTCTTTATAGCAGCATGACTTATAATCCTTTGGGTATATCCCCAGTAATGGGATGGCTGGGTCAAATGGTATTTCTGGTTCTAGATCCTTGAGGAATCGCCACACTGTTTTCCACAATGGTTGAACTAGTTTACACTCCCACCAACAGTGTAAAAGTGTTCCTATTTCTCCACAGCCTCTCCAGCACCTGTTGTTTCCTGAAGCATTCCCTTTGAAAACTGGCACAAGACAGGGATGCCCTCTCTCACCACTCCTATTCAACATAATGTGGGAAGTTCTTGTTAGGGCAATCAGGGAAGAGAAAGAAATAAAGGATCTTCAGTTAGGAAAAGAAGAAGTCAAATTGTCCCTGTTTCCAGATGACATAATTGTATATTTAGAAAATCCCATCACCTTAGCCCCAAATCTCCTTAAGCTGATAAGAAACTTCAGCAAACTCTCAGGATACAAAATCAATGTGCAAAAATCACAAGCATTCTTATACACCAGTAACACACAAACAGAGAGCCAAATCACGAATGAACTTCCATTCACAATTGCTTCAAAGAGAATAAAATACCTAGGAATCCAACTTACAAGGGATGTAAAGGACCTCTTCAAGGAGAACTACAAACCACTGCTCAGTGAAATAAAAGAGGACACAAACAAATAGAAGAACATGCCATGCTCATGGATAGGAAGAATCAATATCGTGAAAATGGCCATACTGCCCAAGGTAATTTATACATTCAATGTCATCCCCATTAAGCTACCAATGAGTTTCTTCACAGAATTGGAAAAAACTGCTTTAAAGTTCATATGGAACCAAAAAAGACCCCACATTGCCAAGACCATCCTAAGCCAAAAGAACAAAGCTGGAGGCATCACGCTACCTGACTTCAAACTATACTACAAGGCTACAGTAACCAAAACAGCATGGTACTGGTACCAAAATAGAGATATAGACCAATGGAACAGAACA